CTGGTGCCGCGCCGTGACCCGCCTGGCCCTTCTGCCCTCGTGCTTCCCCCACATTCTGTGTCGGCTCAGCCGCTTTCCCGCCTGCCCCTCACAGTCCCCGGAGGCGGGGGGCCTGGGGACCCTTTCCTTCTCCGCTGGCCCAGCTGCACAGCCTTCCAGCTCGTGAGACTGGACCTGTGCTTTTTCTTAAATGTTTTCTTTCTAATGTTTATTTTTGAGAGAGAGAGAGAGAGACAGCGTGAGCAGGGGAGGGTCAGAGAGAGAGGGAGTCACAGACTGAAACAGGCTCCAGGCTCCGAGCTGGCAGTCAGCACAGAGCCCGACGCGGGGCTCGAACCCACGAACCGCGAGATCATGACCTAAGCGAAAGTCGGACGCTTAACCGACTAAGCCACCCAGGCGCCCCTGAACCTGTGCTTTTTCTAACCTCATCTCATCGCCGTGAATATGTCCTCCAAGCAAATTTCCTGCCTTCAGGGATGTGTAACAGAATGTGACGATTTTTCTCGCTGGTTTCCTCGTGTGACTCCTAGAGCTGTTTGTGGACCACAGCTGGAAAAAGGATCCTCAACTCACGGTTGTAGACTCGTCACAACGCAGCCATGGCAAATGTCTCTGATGTAGAGACGGTCAAGCACCCGGCACACGTCCTTCTAGCCCGGGATCTCTGGCTCTATGTTCTGGAATGAAATTTGGGCTTCCTGTAACAGTAAACATACTAGTACTCATAACGATGTTATTTATGAGACTGTGGACTCTTGGAAATAACTATACTTAGAATGGCTATCAGCTGTTTCAATCAAAGATCTTTATTTTCAGTGTCTTTTCAAAGATCTTATAGGAACCACGATGAAAGATCATGCACAGATCACATTTTTCCCTCATTAGCAAAAATACAGGTTCGATACTTTTGAAAAAGCCGTTCTGAGTGGCCCAGAGAGCTGGGAAAGAGTGGCTGATGTTTTTTTTCTGGGCTACCACAGAGCTTTCTAAGTCAGTTAGAAGGATGCCCGGGCTGTATTGCTTCCCACCACGAGAAAAAGCAGAGACAGAATACGCTGATTTCAGGAAACTGGCAGTGAAGGGCTCAGGAGGAAAGTTGGTTAAGCTTTTGCTCCTCCCTCTCCCCCGAGGAAGTGGACACAGAAACACACGTCCAGAAGGTCTAAGTCAGAGCATTCCTCATGCTTTCACCAGCCAGACCTCGTTGCGGCGTCCGTAGGGCTTCATGGGAGGGTCGTACCCAGTGCAGAAGTAGAGGTCACTCCGGCAGGTGGCTGTGCCCTCCAAGGCGGCCCGCAGCTGAGTGGCGTGCGCGACGTAGTCGGCCTCCTTGGCATAACCGCCAAACTGGCTGGGGGAGAGGAATGAGGGGCTGGTTATGAAGAGACATGATCTCCAAGAGAGGTGAGGTCTTTAAAAAAAGAAGTAACTTGCCACTCTCACTATGACAAGCGCCCGAGAGCAGTAAGATAGCTCGTCTGCTGCTTCCTAGATGGGTGGGCTTGACCCTCCTGAGCCTCAGGTCTTCGCATGGACACCGGGGATAGGCTGTCTTTTCCCTCCAAGGTTGTAATGAGCATTAAGTATAGTAATGGACGTGAAAAACTAATGCAGAGCCTGAAACACAAAAGTCAAGTCTTTCCTTTCTGGAATCTTCCCGAGGGACGGCAGGCTGACCTTCCCATCGGCTGTGCCTTCGCCCTTCTCTCTAGATCTCTCTTACTGCCCGGGCAGCAACTCCTCTGGGCCCCCCTGGCTCTAGCTGGGGAAGGAGGAGGAGACAGGGGCGTTAGCGAGGGTGGAGCCGCAGCTAATGTTTCTCCCCAGGCAGAGTGGTGACAGGTAGCAGCTTTGTTAAAAAACAGAGCGACCTGGCCATGTGTAGCAACATGGATGGAACTAGAGGGTGTTATGCTGAGCGAAATAAGTCAGGCAGAGAAGGACAAATATCCTATGTTTGCACGTATAGGAGGATTAGGAGGAACTTAACCGAGGACCATGGGGGAGAAGAAGGGGGGAAATGGGGGGGAAAGGGAGAGAGGCAAACCATGAGAGACTCTTGAATGCTGAGAACAAACTGAGTACTGATGGGTGTGGGGGGAGGGGGAGGGAGGAGATGGGCATGGAGGAGGGCACTTGTGGGGATGAGCACTGGGTGTTATATGGAAACCAACTTGACAACAAACTATTCGTTAAAAAAAAAACCCAAAGAAACAAACAAACAAACAAAAACGGAGCGACCAAAGGCAGGGTCGGGGGGAAGTCTTGGGAGCCCCCTTGGCAAGCTGTAAGCATGCCCCACATAAAGAAATCACTTCTAATAAATCTCCTCTCCCGTTCAAATCATGAGAGCCTTCTTTTTCCAGCAAGTAAAAAGACTCCTAAATCAGGCTTTTCTCTTGACGGCAGAAGGTGGGGACAGAGAAGGAAGAAAGCTTGCCTTTTCAAGATGATTATTCCTCCTTACGTCATCTGCCTACGCTCCAAAATTCATCCTGTGGCCTACCCTAAATATACCACCCTAAATCTGAGCTGCACTAAAATCTTTATTAGAGTCAAATATGTCCCCAATTCTAATGAGCTTTATGACTCAAAAGTCTGAATCTGCACCAGGCCAAGATTAGGCCAAATGCATTATTTTTGGCGGGGTTCTCTGAGTCACGCTTTGCTCTTTTATAAGTGGTTAGTCATGCTCGGCAAGCATTCAGCACGTTGATTACAGGGCTCCTGATGTAAAAACACCCAGGATTTCATCTTTAAGGGATTGGCCCCTCCAATGTCTAGACCATCGCCAGAGAACATGGACGGCGCCAAGACCGATTCGGAGGAGAAGAGAGTGAGATCAAGTGTATCGAAGAGGGGCTCTAAGGCAGTTCAAGAAAAGTTGAACTCTAACTCAACGAGAGGATTAGCGCACCGAGGATGAACATTAAGGAAAGACTGTTTAGGCAAGAAAAGCCTACAAGACAATGGCTTATTTCCAAAGAATGTCTATAGGTTGAGAGCCACTTGCCTGAGACGAATCAGATGCTGAATGTAGGAGGGTGGAGTGGCCCCTGCATCCCCCTCTCACTCTGTGACACTAAATTTTATCCTTGAAAATGAACAACATTGGCCCTTTAGGCTGCTGGGTCTTTGAAGCGTCCAAAGAAGACGTGGTCCTCAAATACCTGCGTTCATCAGTCGGGAGCCGAAATGGCTAGTGTGTGCTCACCCCTAGTACTGCTGCCCTGTTCTAGCTCCTGGTCTTGGGGACATGCTTTAAGTTCTCTGATCTTCAGGTCCTTCATCTGTTAAATGGGGCTGACAGCAGAATCTCAGAAGGCTGTTGTGAAGATGAGGGAGAGAAGGCTGCGGACTGCTCAGCACAGTGCCCGGCGCAAAGCAAGCCCACGACAAACAGGCTGTTGCCGTCACGTTGCAGCTCTGCTCAGAACAGCCATCCAGTTCCCTGCCTTTGGGCTGAGGGATGTGACCGCAGTCTACAGTAACGTCAGGAAGCCCGGAAGCCAGCCTCGTAATGAAGAACTGGCTCGATAAACAATCTCCCCTTCTCCACTGGACCCTCTCCAAACCCTGTGTACACTTTCACCCTACCCCCCAGTCATTTTCCTGTTTTCTCCTTGTTCTTTCTCTCACTCTTTTTTCTTTCTTTCCTCTTCTCTCCTCCTTCCTTCCTTCCTTCCTTCCTTCCTTCCTTCCTTCCTTCCTTCCTTCCTTCCTCCCTCCCTCCCTCCCTCAGCACTTGTGACCCTCTGACATACTATATAATTCATTCATTGTATTCATTCTTTATGGTCTGAATTCCTGGTAGAATATAGGCCCCAGGAATCCAGGGATCTTTGTTACTTTGTTCCCTGGTGTATTCTGAGCACGTAACACAGTGCCTGACACATATTAGATCCCTTGGCTAGATGAACAATTCTGGGATAAACAATAACAGTATCTTCAGGCTGACAGACCTCAAGATGATAGCACTTAGGTCTGTTGGCTTCCATATTCACTAACTCATTTAATAAAATCTGAAGCACATACTAAGGGGACAGTAGTGGTAATTTAAACAAGAAAACTGGATTGGCTGGAGCCACATTGGGAAGGGCCTTGAATGCCATGCCAAGGACTTTGAACCTGATCCTAGATGCAAACGTGGACCCACAAAGGGTTTGAAAGTAAGAGGCTGACATGATCAGGTTGTGTTTTGGAGAAATCCCTCTGGTGGCAGTGGAGGGAAAGAGATGGAGTCGCTGAAGGTCAGGAGCAGCCAGGTGTGAGGTGGAAAAGGCCTTCGGACAAAGGCAAATGTTGAGAAGTGTCTGGGTATGGGGGGGAGGGCAGGGAGAGGTGGAGGAGTCGAGGATTCTCCTGGCTTCTAGTCAAGTCTCTGGGTCCAACTGGTGCCACTAACCAGAATAGGGGCATGTTGATACGAAGGGGCATCTGTGAGATACATTCATGCAACTATTATTGTGTACATAAGTGTGTGTTGGGCACTGTGAAAATCTCCTCGACCTAGGCAAGAACTGGAGTCAGAGATCCTGATTTGGGAAGAAGGTGGGCCTAGTGATGGCTCTTGGGAGTCATCAGTGAGTAGTTAACTGACTATCATCACAGTAAGGAGGGAGATGAGGCCTGGATGGTGAGCACACGGAAGGAAGGTCAGCAGTTCGTTCTTGGGAATCCTAGTCCCCAAGGAGTGAGTGCAAAAAGTGGCCTTGGCAAGGTCCACGGGAGAAGGAACTTGTCTGAGAGGTACAAGGTGACCCAGCAAGGGATATGGAGATGTCATCATTTGGGGACTTTTAGGTTCATTAAAAAAAATTATTAAAAACTATTCCCATGTGGAATGAGATGCTGATAATGAGGCTAAAAATTTCCCTATTGCTTCATCATGGAAGTATTCTACTAGAAAACAAAGTGAGAGGGCCACAAAACAGATACGTGTGTTCTCCTTGCTGGTAAATCAACCAACTCACCCAAACCCCATCACAGAATCGCATGAACAGGCCAGAAAACCAAGCCCTACAGGGCATGCGGTCCTGATACATGATGCAGGCTCAGTGCCCTTTCCTCCACCTCTTTACGGGTAAGCCGCCTCCTTCCTCCCTGCCTCAGCTTCCACGCTACCCACCGAGGATAACACAGTGCTCTCCAAGTTCACAAGCACGTCTGAGTGTGACTTCAAGAATTCTCGTAAAGCACTCGGAGCTCCTCAAAGGAAATCAACATGAAGTCTCATATACTAGTTTTGTAAGCCTGTTAACAGGTCTCAGTCACCGTCTTCAAAGAAGCTCTCCTCTGGGGCACTGGATTTTATCTCCCCCCATGTCAGAGTTCAGCATTTGGAACAAAGAATTTCGTTACTATGGGAATCGAGGAAAGACACCCCCCGCCCCCGGATTGCAGAAACACAAAAGGAGCTGACTAAAAAGGTCTAGAAGAGGTTGAGGTGGGGGGGTGTGGGGGGGTGGATGATGGAGGCATCAATGAGGCGGGCCAACACATAGAGGCTTTGGTCCAACGAGGCAAAAAAAAAAACCCAAAAAAACAAAACAAAACAACCCAATTAAAACCCATAATGGTTCAGGCATGCAGTAAAGTAGGAAGAGAAATGGACAGTCTGAGCCTGACCATCCAACTTGGTCTAAAATTTTATCCATAAGTCCACACAGATTTGGGGACAGCCTGCTATGCATGTAGCTCTGTGCTAGGCAAAAGCAATATAAGATCAGGGTCTGATACTTTCATACCACCAGGAAAGAAGTCACACCATGATGCATTTCATGCAATCGGACTGAACTGTGTTTATGGAGTTGAGCATCACGGGCACCAGACACAAGCTAGGCACACAGAGATGTAAAGATGATGAAGACATCTCTCTACGCTCTCGAGGTCTAACTGCAGTGGTCAGGGCAGAAACACACATAAAGATTATATAGGGCAGCAGGAAGCGCTAGAATGAAGGTCGAAGGTACAAATGGAATGCTCTGGGGGTGGGGAATAGGGAATGATTGGTTCTGACTTAACAACATGGAGAGAAGGCGCTATGGCGGCCCTGATATTAAGCAACTGTTTATTGAGCATCTCTTCTTAATGCCAGCAATGAACAATATGACAAAAATGCCTGTCCTCACACAGCTTCCAAGAAGAAGCTGGGGAAGAAGGGCTGTCGGAGGAGCTGAGTGAATGTGATGAAAGCATGGACACGGAGGCTGCATGTGTGTATATTTGAGGGGGGGCCCTGAGAGGTGGGGGGTGGCATGCCCTGAGGTCAGGTAGACACGGAGTGGGGCTCTGTTATGGATGGAATGCCATGATAAAGCATTTTTACTAGGCTTCGCTGCCTGGCTACCC